CAGTGGGAAAACTAAGTGTTCAAATGTTTGGGGAGACCAGCATTGAAACAGCCTGTGTGAACTTAATTTCAGCTGCCTCTATGTGTGTCTTACATGGCTTCAAGTCAGGTGGAACCACCTAATAATCGAGTTTGGCTTCTTGCACAACCCATTTTATATACTGTTTCCCTCAGGTGTGCAATTGAAAAAACTGTGCTCAAGAACCCCTATTTTTAAGAACTGTATGTCTTGCACTTGGCTAATATATACTTTCCAGAAAGGCATTCAGTGTTCCTTTGACTGCAAAGAGATGCAAACTACACTACTTGTTATGTTATATCTTCAATTGCATAAGCCCAGTCTAAGTTTTCCATGGGGACCCTATCTCCTTCAGTACACAGGACAGATTTGCTTAGCTAGCAGCCATTCAGTATTTTATTTTTGCCCTTTTTATTTGATGCATATCTCTAAAAGCCTTGTTTACTGCATATTATTCAAGCTCTGTTCTGAAGACAGAATGATTAATTTCTTTACAAGCTTTTCTGTAGTGCTCATCAAATGCATCTAACTTGCCATGTGCAATTTCCCAGCTTTTGGAGAAGCATGAAAAGGAAAAGCATCATGTGGCATCCTGGAAGTGCCCCCATGACTCATATCTGCAGGGAGAGAACAGACCTTTGCTGTCTGTTTTGCTAACAGGTGGGAACGACGGGCTGCCAGCACGGCCACCTACGGGGGACGAGACACACAGCCCAGCAACTGATTTTCACTGATACCTGCTGACACCAGAGGGGTGGGTAGACTCAGGATTTTAAGAAGATCTAAGGCCCTTTCTATTTCTTCCTTCCCAACACACCCACCTCCTACTCTGGGCCTTATTCCTTAATGCAGTCTCATTCTTTTCATCTATCCAGTCAGTCCCTATTTTTCTTTCTGTTATCAAGTCTGTCTTTCCTTTTCCCTGCTTGCTCATGGGCCAGAACTGATGTGCATGTCAGAAAACTTTATTCAAAACAGTTATGGTTTGTGACAAGCACAAACAACTGAAGTGCTAAGACACAATGTGTGGTTTTGCCCATAGAGTAGGACAAAAATTAAAACTGTTAGTATGGTTTTGGCACCTAACTTGATGGCTATTCTGACCTTGGTGACTTGTCTGCAATTCTGACACTAACCAAACAAGCCATTTCATTCCATCTTTCCAGATTTTCACAGACTGATTTTGCACAGGTTGGATGACAGAAATCAAATAATACAACCGAGCCCTAAAGCACATAAGCCTGCCATGTGCACAGCTGTTTTGTAACCTCCTCCCAACCTGGACACTAGCTATTCATTTGCTGGTTTTGCACTTGCAGCGCAACACTCATCATTCGTTATTACCAAATCTTGTCCTTCATTCCTTCTCTCTGGGTTCCACTATTTTCTCTCAATTATCACTTCACTTTATGTTTGTCCTCTTGTGTACTCATAACCCTTCAGTTCTGGTACTGCCTGCCAATCTTACCGGGGTTAAATTTATGCCAGGGAATACAGATCTGCTAGCAAAGATACAACATGGTCATTTGAACAGAGAATTCTTGTAGAAATTAAATTGGTTGAGAAAATCTCTGAGACTACTAAAATTTAAGAGACACCTAAAGGCTAGAGTTAAGAAGACGCATGTCTGATAAAATATGATTAAATGTTCTGATTTCATAACAGAAGTGGGTCTTAGCCTTCCACAAAGTTCCCTGTACAATACACTTTGAAAGCTATAGGCCCTGTGTTTGTAAATAAGTTTATTTTGGGGATGGTGCAACAGAAGTATTTGCTAAATAGGAGTGCTAATGAAAAGGAAATGTGGAGCCATAGCCCCTACACAAGGTTAGAGCAGAGCCTTAGTTTAAGAGATGAACTGCATTGTAAACTAACAGTTTGTCTTGCTTTGGGTAGACACAACACTCCAGCCCAAGATTCAGAAACCCTGTATATATCTCTGTAGCTATTTAGTTCACATCATCTTTCAAAAATCATTGCACTACTTTCTTAAAATGCGTAACAGCAGGAAAAGCAGCAAAGACAATAATAAAGCAGTCAACTGACTTCCAAAGCTATCAGCATTTATCAATTAAAATATTTACTTTCAACACAAGTCCTAATTAATTAAAAACATTCAATCCAGCATTAAAATAGAGGTTCAGGCTACTCATTTTATTCTTGGAACAAAGTCACTTGCTTTCAGGATTAGGAAGACAATGGCACCCGGAGCAAGCATGAGCCCTCTCCCCTCTTATTACAGTTAATCGGGAACATAAACACTATAATGGAGCTGAGCCCCTGCAAACTCACCAGGCTGTGCATAATTTCCACTCCAGCTGGATTCACTGTGAGTGCCTCATCATACAATTGCTTGGCCTCCTCCAAATTGCCTTTCATCTCTGCAAGCCGCCCACGCATGTACAGTACAGCATGCGAAGTGGGGAAAAGACTAGCTGCCTCCTGGATACAATAGCCTGCTTCCTTGAGATGCTGTTGCTCCATGAAGAGTTCAGCTGAAAAAAAAAGAAAGGAAGGAAAATAAAACACCACCCTACCATTAGTTGAAGTAATTCAGACACATTTCTTCACATAAATTACACTGTTTCCTTAAAAATATTAAATCACAAGGGCATGATCCTGCAAAGCGCTTACTACTATGGTTAGTGTTTACTATTATAAGTGAATTAACATTACAAAAATATCCATTCAATGAAGTGCTATATATATATGCATGTTTATGGACATTTTTTAGGTGCTATCCTGACCGAGGATGGCCTTGAAGACATACGAGAGTGTTTCTTCAATCAGGATGTAAACATATGCCGAACCGATCCCTAAGCAAGCACGACTGGTAGCTACTTGGAGCTGTCATATGCATTTCCAAATAATCTGGGGGGAAAAAGAGCAGAAGCAGCCATCACTGTCTACTGAGAAGTTTAAACATGTCAGAGTAACAGGATACATCTGACTGAGTTGGATATTAAATAACTTATTTAAAAGACCATTCCCACATTTTAAAAATTGATCAAATGTGTTCTTCTCTGCTCATGTGCTTAGTTCATGAGATAGTTGTCTCTTGGGTTTTTAGAGTCTCTTTAAAAACAGAAGGCTTGCATTATAAGGACTTATTTATATTATGCATACATACATTTACTTCCTCACATATGCTCTGCAGAAAAATAAAAGGGAACTCTGGAAAGAACTTATTCTACCATTTACTTTCTTCAACTACCAGCAACTATACCAGTTGACTCTGTCAACTTACTTGCTATCAATTCTTCTCTCACATTAAACATAAATTTCACAACATTTCTCAGGATTTATCAAGTTGTACTGCAAAGGGCTTCCTAAGCAAATGGCACTGACCATACGAAGGCTGCTTCTTGGCCTGCCTGACATGACGCTGAGATCACAAGCAGCACTTCTCCTGGAACACTAGCAATGATCGTGTACAGAAATGACATTGTGGCTAAACAGCCTTGCCCATTGGATGTGGTCCTTCTAACATGGAGAATACACTTAAATGATTCTTAGCCATCCCTAGGTTTCGCTACAGATAAATGTCATTCTCTAAGGTTGTCAACACGAGAACAACATTAGTTTCTCCGTGAGAACTCTTGAAAAGTGACTCATAAGCATTTCTGTCTGCTTAATCACAACAAAATCTCGGCACGTATCCCCTCCCCTGGCTACAGGAGGGTGCAGTTATCTCTAATAACAGAAAGCAAGGCCACGTATCTTGTCAAGCAGAGGATGTGCTGAGCCTTATTCCAAAGTTTGTGGGAGGACAGTATTTTACTTGCACTTCCCAGGGAACAGAGCATTTTCCTGCCAAGTGCTGCCTGGCAGCTGATGCTGTGCTTGTGGTAATACTGAGGATGGGCATCTGCAAAGTGCTGATTCACAGCCTGAAGAAAAACACTTCATTTGCAAAGTTAGAAAAAACAGAGCAGCATAAAAGAAGAGGTGAAATCTTGGTACTATTTGAAGTCAAAACAATTTCTGGATATTGTTATATTAAAAGCTCTATTAGCTACCAACAGGGCAATGTGACTTGTTTCATTTCAGAAAAGAACCAGGAGAAAGAGGGTTTAGATGTGAAATCGCGTAGAGCCTGTGATTCAATGCATACCAAATGGAGAGTGGTTATTCTTTCTTTCAACGTTGCCTGTATATCTTCTTCAGTAATAACAATTATTTAGAGGAACTGCAGCGACACAGAATCTAAATAAGATCTACAAATTGTATTTTATGGTATGGTAATGTAGCATATTAAAGTTCAGTCCATTTCTTTGCAGGCTGAATAGTCAATAAAAATGATTTAATGGTGTGGGAGGTCTAATTTGCATAAAAAAAAGCATGCGAGGTGCCTTTGGGTTAAGAAAGGAAAGGAGTGCACCACCTAGCTAAAAATAGACATTAAGGGAAATCATCTAGGCCTGCATTAAAATGTGTTTTCTGTAAACTCATTTTTCACTTTTATTACATGCTCATTTTATTTACAGATGAACAAGATACGCTTACGCAACATGGAGTAAAAGCACAGCTAGAGGCAGCAATCAAAACCAAAAAATTAAATCAACTATGGTAATACTCCTCCTCACCATTGTACTGAAATGCCTTTCTTTGCATTACCTGTGTTAGCAGCTCCCTGTCCACTGGATTATTTCACATATCTCCTTGCATGACCTAATCGGGCTGTAAATAAAATTCTGGTCATTCTGGCCAACGTAGCAGCAAGGAACACAAGGAAGTTCTGATGGGAGAAGATGTGACACCCAAAGCAGGAGGTAGCTCCTCAGAGTTAAACAGATAGAGAAGATCTCTAATTCTTATCCCAAGAAAGGTTCAGTGCTTCAGGGAAAACACTGATGAACCTCAAACTCTTGGACTACATAGCTTTTGATACCAACATTCTCTGCAGCTTTGAATCCAAAGGCCATATTTGCAGGCTTCCTTGCAATCTCTTATACCATCTTCATAACAGCTTGAACAAATTTACAACTGCTTTGAACTAAGGACTAGCAGAGGCTCTGCAAACGCTAAAGCGCAAAGAACGATGATCATTCTGGACGTACCACCTCCTCTAGGAGCCTCTTTGGAGTAAGGCTATAAACCATGAATGCAGATGATTAGCAGGAAATACTCGAGTATTTTTACCCACAGGTATGGGCAGAGACAGCGTGCACCTTGTGTATGGGCAAAGGCAGACAGAACTGTTCACTGTCTCCTTCTCTAAGGTTTGACCTTGCGTGCACCGAGACCAAGAGCAGCTACCCACTTACTCCAGGGTCCACCCTACTGTGATTTACTTTTTTGCCTTGTTCACTTCATGCTTCCTTATGGCACATACTGTCCAGCCTGCTTTGCAGTTCTCCCAGAGAACTGTTCTCTGCCCTTGTGGTTACAGCCTCCTTTGCTCTGCCTTGTAGCTACATTCCCACTGATACTCCAGGATTAATGCTGGACTCAGATGTATCATTAGCTCCTAATATTAGCTCTTAGTTCTTCCAGACATCTTGCTGTTGGCATTTAAGCTTATCTACAGCAAAGATCCTTAATCAAGTGAGAAATGCCAGAATCCTATCATCTACTTGCTCTCCAAAGACTTGCAGCAATCGCACGGACAAAGAGCCCTTCCCAGAGCACTCTGACAGAGCTGGATGTCCTGCATACAGACTCCTTTTCCCTCTCCAAGATAAATTATTTGACAGGGCTCTGTTAAGGAGCCCATTTGAGGTGCAGCAACAATGTAATCTAGTCATGTCTGCATCACAGGCCTTGTCAGAGGAGTATATTTGCCTGCCATCACCTTAAATGCTGACGCTATTCCCAGTTTCCTAAGCGTTTCAAAGTGGTGTCAAGAGTGACTGCACTTGTCATCACAGAAGCAGCAACAGCTGTAATTCTAGCCCAAATGAAATGGCTTTGAAGTGTATTTCTGTGACGTGAACCACCCAAGAGTTAAAATCTCATTCCTCGCGAACCACATTCAGTGTTATCCAAGACGCAGCACTTAACTCCCACAAGCAGCCTGCTCCGCATCACCCTATTCAGTTTGTCAGCTGGCTCCCAAGTGCCGATCTGCTCTCCTCCTCCCCAGGAATGCTACCGCGCACTGACAAGGCAAATGCAACACAGCCAAACGACCAGCAGCACCGCACACCGGGGAGCAGCCCCTCGCCCTTTGAGAAGGTGACACAGCCTGCAGGGGCACACTGAGAGGTATTTTCTGTTCCATGAAATTCATCTGCTTTCAGGAGCTATTAATTCTTGCTAGTGCATCAGCCCTTAGCCAGCTAGGAAGGCCCACTCCTTTGGGATTGCATCGGTGCCTGTGGAGCTATTAGCATGACAAAGGGCTCTCCCTCCACCTTGCCTAGCCTTTCCTTGAGAGGACGTTTAGTCATTGCCCCGTATTATGACACCACCTGCACGCTGCAGTTTGACAATCCACAGGCAGATTAGATGGGGCGGCCCTGAAGCCATCACCCAGCTGCGGTCATTGCCTTGGACACCAGCTTCAGCACAGGACAGGTAGAGCGAACAGACCCTGCTGCGAGTTCCTGCCTGGGCAAGCTCGGCCACTTGTGCTTTTGAAAAAGGCAACAAGCTTACCTCCTCAGGGGCTGTCTTTGCAAGAAAAAGGGCAAGAATGACTACTGGTAGTTAACTGCAGCCCAGACCTACTTTAAAATTACAAGTTTCAGATATCAAATGGGCTGAAATGGCAACTGAGCTTCTACATGTACAAATGCAGCATCGAAGTGAAGACTTTAGAAGTGGCAGAGTTACAACAAGCTACTCTTTATACTAAATCGTACGATCAAAAATTATTTGAAATACAGCAAAGCCCGTCACAGGGTACCTAGTTTCTCTAAGAGAAGAGGGATGCTGCTCACCTGTGGCAAAACAGCAGTTTCTCAGGTCGAGAGGAGGTTTGGCACATGAAACCGCTGGCAAGAGGAAACTCAGAAATGCTATGAGGAGCAAACCGCCACATTGCAGGGAATGAGGCCACCACTGACCCATGTAACACAAAACATGTCTTTTACACTTTTTAAGCCCTCTCTTGAAACATTGACCGCTCACTATAGTCAAAGAAAGGGCTTCTATGTCTTGGCATATCAGCCATGTCGAGTATAAATTCCCATTTTCCTTCCAGAGACGTATCTTTCCCTGCTATTGATTGGTGTCTTGTTCTTCCTTGAAGACTGGATATATCTTATCCCTCATCCCAAAGTTCCTGAGAAACAGCAGGATGTGGATATTTCTGCCATCCTCATGGTACCCCTGGCAGTGAAAAAGATTCTTCTCCATTTTCCAGCATGGAAGCTAGAGACTGTTTGGCGTGGAGCACTGCTAGTCCTTTCCTTCACATGTGTTCACACACGCACATGCATGTTTGCATGCCTCAGAATATGAGAAAACACATATGGGCTGTGCAGATCATCTGTGCCATTACATTATCAGTGCACAAAGCTTCCCATCCTGCGTCAGCAATGAGAAATAC